GGGAAGGGGGTGTCCTTCTCTGTTAATCATTTGTTGTTATCCAAGTAGCTTACATCCAGATATATGCCTATGTTTCCTAAACTTTCTTGTCGAGTTTTCGATGCACGAGTGCTGCTTTTTCATGCAGTTTTTTTTGTGCAGGCATGTTGATGTTTGTAGACCACCGTCTGCACCCGAATAGATCACCCGGTCATTATGGCTGTATTTGGCGGAACTTTCAGTCTAGAGCTATAATAACTGGGCGTTCTACTCGGGTGAAGACGGTAGTCGATATATATGTCATATTTCTAGACTACTCGCTATTTTCCCATAAATCCTGTTTTACAATGTTGTGAGTTCGCACCATGGGGTGGATGATGGTATGCGACCATTGACTAAAAATTGATACTCTAGAGCAGGAAGATCACTTTGGCTTTTTTTTTGTGTGTGTGTGGATCTTGACTGATTTCGAGTACTTGTTGCAATTCCTGTCATTCCTGCATGTTTGTGAAACCTGCAGTAGTCTGGTGATTAAGCCAAAAAAAAAAAAAAAAAAAAAAAGTTCATATACAAATAGGTTCGTGATGTTGAGTAGCGTGCATGTCAAGAAGTCTGCCAATAAGTCCCTCTTTTGCATGGTTTGGTGTGTGCAGGTGTATGGAAGATCTCATGAGCACAACGAGATATGTCTCATGGTCTCTGCATAACAGGGTGAGCTAACAGTTGCATATGCACTGAATGAGAAAGAACGAAGAGGAACACGAGGACAGTAGAGAGCGAGAGAGGGAAAGTGAAATGGGGAAATGGGAGGAGGGCATACTCACACTACTGTCTTCCCCTGAACACAATGGAGAGCCTCAGTCATGAATGAACACAATGAAACTCCAAACGCAACGGACCCTCATCAGGAATGTGTACGAGCTATCTTTCGGGTACCATACAGTCATGAGGAGGGTGTGTTGTTTTTTGGGCCCGTACATTCCAGATGAGGGTACATCATTGCGATCAGGGGAAGACGGTAGTCACTACCTCGGGTAAATTTCTTATGCTAATCTAAACTCGGAAAAGGCGCTAATGTGAGTATGCCCGGGGAAAGAGCTGACATGCTCTCAGCAATTTGCATGCCTGACTGTCGCCGTCCCTTCTCTGGATCGTGCTGCCTGATCCTTTTTGAATCCTTTTTCTTTTGCCTGTTCAAGAGGCAAGCTCCGTCAGTGTTGATTAATGGTCGATTCCATTGACACATTTACGTCCCACAGCAACCGTCCCCGCTCTACCGGATATGTGGGCTTTACAGCAGCTGTGATGGGGTTTGTTGCCAGGCCTGTTTACTGAGGGTACTTCTTGCTTGGGTGTGTGATTTGTTTTCCTGCTCTTTTGTTTTGGTATTTTTATAGAAAGGGGGAGTTTTGATCCACGGGGGGGGGGGGGG